GTAGGAAAATAAGAGAATATTTTATTTAAATTAGCCAAAAGATCAAGAAAAAAAAAAAAAAAGAGAGAGAGAGAGAGAGAGGGAAAAAACTTGAGGCCTTTAAGTGCTTCCCCTGCATCATCCTCATTTACCGGTGCTGGTAATTGGGTATGGAATGACATTTTCCCCTGTAACTTCCACTGCTACAGGGATCCTCAAGTAGGAGAACATAGAGCACCGTAGGTGAACTCTGCACTTTCTAGTAGTTCAATCACCTGTTATTTTTTTTTAAAGGTTTTTACCACAGGCTGCATGTACTTGCAGGAGAGAGAGAGACAGTGAGAGAGGGAGTGAGAAATCACCCCACAGGGGTGATGGCCACTACATAATCCCTTCTCCCCTATTCTCTTCTTGAACTTTGGACATGCATGCACGTACACATGCCCAGCGTGATTTTTCTTTTAGTTTTTTAAGACAGCTTTTTTGCTACAGGGCACATGCACTTGCCAGATAGACAGAAAGCAAGAATTCACCTCCCAGAGGAGAGGGCCACACTGCAATCCCTTCTCCTCCATTCTCCTCCTGGGATTTTGGGCACACAAGTCTACATGCCCATATAAGATTCAACCTGCAGTTCTGGGACTCAAACTGTGGTCAGCTATGTGGGAGTCCAGCACCTTAAGCACTATGCCACCTGCTGGCCCCCACTACAAAAGTTTTACAGCCAGACTCCAGGGTAAATTCTTTCAGTTTCACTTGCTGGAACGATGTTCTGATGGAACATTCTGAGAAGTATTCTCTTAATATGGTGAATATAATAAATACGAATTGGATTTCAATCATGATACTTTAATATGGCATTGATTATATGAGTTTCTTTTTCTGTTTCTTTTTTTAAATGGTTAACCTTTCTTTTATATATTTTTTTAAGTCTAGATAATCAAAGAAAATCAAACAAAATCTGATAAATCAAGCCTTGATCCTTTGCACTTGCCAATTTCTGTGCCATAAATATACCTACTATGACATAATTCAAGCTACTAACATCTATGAACACAGAGTTTGGAATACCATTCTATAATATCTCAACTATACAGATACTATAAATATAAGCGACCTTAAGAACATAGATAATAATACAGTGCACTAAATCGATTAGAAATAATGAATTTAGTGTGTTACCTTTCCTTTTAACATAATTTAATAGTAAATTTATGTAATCCATTTTTTTTCACAGATGTGAGCCTGCTTTTCTTCCCCCCCCCCCAAGGCTGTCTCTATTTTTTATTATTTTAATTTATTTTATAAATTCAATCACTGGATTCACCCAACATAAATGCACTTCACACCAGTCCAGTTGAAGATACCATACACATTATCATCAACAGATAATCGTCCATTCCTGTGTCCCATAAATGCCAGAGACAGATGAATGGATCGAAAAAGTGTAGCACATAAATTCTATAAAATACTAATCAGCCATATAAAACAACGAGAGCCTGGCATTTGATGGAAAGTGGATGAATATGGAAAATTTACTGCTAAGTGAAGCAAGCCAGGCTACGAAAGAGCGACATTGTCTGTTTCAACTTAAG